GAAACACGCCCAGAAAGACAGAGAACCATCCTCCTCCACGACGATGCCCGGCCGCACACCGCTAGACAGACTCATCTAAAGTTACTGGACCTGTGCTGGGAGGTGCTGCCGCATCCGCCCTACAGCCCCGACCTTGCCCCGTCCGATTATCACCTTTTCGTTGCCCTGGACCGTCACATGGGTGGAAAGCAGTACGCCAACCGAGACGACCTGAAAACCGATTTGGCCAACTTTTTCGTAGCGCAGCCGCCAGAGATCCATTGGAATGGCATCCATAGTTTGCATAAACGTTGGCGTGAAGTGATAGAGGCCAATGGTGATTACATTCATGATTGAGATGATTTTGCTTTTAAATAAACTGAGTTGTAATAATTGTTCATGAAATTCCGAGAACTTTCTTTCCAATCAGATAACTTCAATTTCGAACCTTAGGAATAAAAACGGGTAGATGATGGGATTTTTTGACACCTTAGAAAAGCATCAAATTCGGACCATCAATATGTACAATTTAATTTATCTCGAGGGAATACAGTTGAAACCTTAACCACAGAGATTCGAGTAGGAAGTTGAGCGAGAGAAAGGACGAATATTACGACGTTCAAGTCGAGTCAGAACGGTATCACTCGACGAACATGTCTCAATATGGGCAACCTATTTTTCCGTTGAAGTAAGACAGTAGAATCCAAGACCAATTTGAGATTTGCAATGCGATTTGTGGCATTTCTGAGAAGCATCGCATTCGTACCATATATGACGCATGGCGGGTGGTAGACTGAGATTCGAGGCTGCTCTGAGAAGTATCTCGGTCTGACCATGTGTCACGCATATGGTAGGATATTTTTCAGTCCAAAGTAAAAAACGAAAATCAATACCCAATGGCATCGATTAAGATCCAAAACGGGAAAAACTGTGAATTCGGAAGAATTCGAGAAACCGCTTAAAAGCATCACACTCGGACCATGCCCTATTGGCAAGTCGTTTTCAATAGGAACAAAACAGTGGAAACCAACTCCATCCAACTTCGTTCACGAATCCTAGGAAGAATACACGAAATCAATTGCATTCCTGACATCTCTGAGAATCATCGCATTCGGCCTTTGAATCAAACACCTTCATTGAAACTTTCATCGGAGACTAACGATTTAACGCAAGACCGACCAGTTTTGATCACGATTTGGAGCGACGAAAGTGTGAAAATGTATTCGAACAATCATAGAAAAAACCATCAGATTCGGACCTTGTATAGCCCTGTGCGCCATGTGCTCGCCATCTATCTCATTCATTCGGACAAAGGAAATTCCTATTAATGACGGCAGATGGCGACTCAAGAGTCGATATCTAGGACGCCTTTCTACCGGCGAATGGTAAAACAAACCGGGAAAATGCTGCTTCGTACGACGCCGAAGTGTCTTTGGAATGAGGAAATTTTCAAGAGTACCATTTCCCCATCTCACTCGACACACACTGCTTGCAACGCCTAACGAAATCGATCGATCGTGGCAAAAGAGCTAAACACGATGAGTCACTTCGACACGACGCCTGCCCAACCGATAGGGGAATCCGATGGCGTGATCTCGGTCGTGCCATCGACCTTCAAAAATCAACCCTCAAAACCCTTCAACCTCATTCGCCCGGCAACATCATCCTGGAGTAATGGAATCCAGCATCTGTCGAACCGGATAGTGAAAGCCCGACTCCTGTCTCCACATGTACCGGCCGATCTTTATTCGCGTCCCTCAAAATATCCAAAGTATTACCATGGTCTGTACATTCCACCACTCGAAACCTGTCTAAAAACAACTACAGGGTCACCCGACGGGAGAAAGTGAGTTCGTCTGCTTTTTTTAAGCTTTCGAGTTGAAAAAAAAAAGCACGACTGCCTTCGACACCGGAAAACGAGTAGACTCGACCTTTGAACACTTCCATGACGATGTCCGCGACGGGGAACGAGCACATGCCACACACCTTCGCACAGACATCCACCTTCTCAAGGCCCAACGCCTTCATGCATGATTCATGACGGTCCCATTTTCCGCCGACACGCAAAACTCAGAACTCCTGATTGTTCCGTGCTCATACGTAGGCACGATAGCTCCATTTCCTAGCATCCATTGCCGCATGTCACGACTAGGTGAGAGCACACGATCGCGCGAGAGACCCAGCAAGGAGAGCCTCGAGGAAAGGGTCCGGTGAGACTGGAACGGACCGGGATTCATTCGCCATCTATCTCGAGATCCACACACTACGTGGTTTCCTATCCATCCGCTGGGCGCGGACAGATGGGAGAACGATCCGTGACGTACGATGCACATCCTGAAGAACTGTGCGAATGAAGAACACCCGTCCCGTAAATGGGTGTAGGCAACGGAATGTCTGCAAGAATTAGGATTCTCATGTGTTCATATTTACTGGGGAAAAAATGATTTTCAACTGCATTATCCATATTGCAAACTTATCTTAATACGGACACAGCTTTGTCCATGCTTTAAAATTGAGACTTTCTGAGTTGACAATGAAGCTTCACAGCATCGAAGAAGACAGTTTTCCGCGAGTCTACAACAGGAGGCCACACACATATGGTATCGATTGGCGCGCCTTGGCTAAAGGTATTTGCAGCAGAACAACATATACAAGATGACTCTGAATATTTATCAATATTTCCTAATGTCCAAGTCTCTTCATCTTGTTAAAAGTAAAAGGTGCCAACCTCTTTGCCAAAGAGTGGCGACCACAAGGTGACGACCCTTCTAACACAAGAGAACTCCGAAACATGCCCATCAGTTAACATTCCTCCAACGATCCAGAATTTCTTGAACGTTCCCGTTTACACATTCGGTCCGTAGGCGGCATCACGCGAAACAGGCGCATTCTCACGAACTTAACCTCGAGTGAACTTTGACCTTGGGGGACAATCACCTTCGGTGGCCTCGAAGCCGCTATGTCACAAATTAATCGCGGGGAAACCCACTCGAGTCGGCGCACTCCAATTGCACCACCAAACTCGATTGGAGTTAAATGGAAACGTGTGTGGAGTGAAGAAAAGAAAGAAATTTCACGTTTTTCCCTCGCGAAGGGAAAGTTCCGCTCCCTGCATAGTGGGAATCGCAGCCGCGGGGAAATTCCAGCATGGATCCGGCGCTGCACCAAAAAATTCCTACTTTCTGTTCCCGTCTCATCACGAAAACACAATCTGCGTTGTTAGAGTGTCGTTACCGATGCATCGCATCGGGCAGATCGCAATCAGCATCAATTTCCATCACAGACACAGCGTATAGAAAATAATTAACACGTCCCTATCACACCTTCATTACTCATCCTCAAGAATGGGATGAAGGAGATGGGATGAAGATGTCCCGTGGATTCCAGGTAATCTTTTGCGGTTCTTCAGAAGGATCGCACAGAATTGGATCAAACAGATGACCTCAATTTCGATATATAAAATTTAAAAAAAAGGAATAAGCACGGAATGGATCCGATAAGCATTGTAGACTTTCATCACCCAAAATATAAGAAAAGCAATAAAACTATTATTATTATTATTTATAAAGTACCAAGTGATAAGAGTCTTCTCTCTTCTATCATCCCTTTTTTTCCCCTATACCATAATTTTCTCATTTTTCCCCCACATACATCCTGATTAATAATGAATGATGATGAGGATAGCTCCAGCCAGAGATAGCGTCTCATGCAACCAAAAGCAGTAATTACACCTGTGTTTTCCGAGCATTTTTCCTTCTCCATCACGCATCCCTCCCTCCTCCCCCCCCCCCCTTCTTTCCCATCATTCCCTTACTCCCCTAACACACACAACTCGTTTCGTTCGCTGGTAGGAAATGTTGCCTCCATTCCAAGGAGTTCCTTTCTTATGGCCAAGGTCGCTTTTCTTAAGGACGTAGACTCATGCGGAACATTTATGTCCCTTTTCTTTCCTTACTTAGGGAAACGTCTCCATATCGACTAATTATCTCAGGCACGCAACACTATTTAGTTTTTCTTGTGACTTAATTTCTCCCCTATTCCATATGAGGCTAAAAAAAAAATCATTTTGGTTGTTTTTCGCTTCATTCCACCAGCTCCGCTTGTGCTCACTGGAGTCCTATGCTCCGGTGACCCCGATAGGAGGATGAAATCAGGTCTCACTCCCCTCCCCCTCAGCTTCGTAAAAGAAAAAAATACCAGGGACATAACTCATAAACCGCCCAACACATGCTCCGACCCGACCCACATCCGTTTATTTATTCTCCCAACCAACGCCCCTTCCCCCCCCCCCAACTCTCCATCGAACATCATGGTTCTTGGAGTATTGCCATTCACATGGCAAACAATGCAGCCAAGTAAATGAGGGCAATTTCGAGAATCGATAATATCATCTTCGCATACTTCAACACCAGCTCCACAATCTAGATCCTGTCGCTTCCGGAAACTACGTTGTTATAGAAACGACACCAGACGTATAAAGACGCAATTCCCCCTTGAGAGAATCCCGTCACTGACACAGCCGATACTCGCACCATTCCCATAACTTTCCATACCGTATACCTGGACGCAGAGCGCCACCGGGAAACAGCATCATGAAGACGACGCCACGAACGGGTCGAGTGAAGTGGAAATTGAAAAAAAAAAAACACACACACACAAGTGCAAGAAAAAAATAAAATCTTTTTCTCTGAAAAAGAACACTGCATCCAACACACCTCTGACGGAACGAACGAATAAAAAAAAACAAAACAAGAATCTCATACCCATAACAAACGACCGACCATCACCCGACCGCATCCGGCCTGGACTCCGGCAGCTCGATCTCGTCCGACGCCCCGTACAACGACACCATCCAATAGACGAGATTGAGCGCGAGAAACGCGAGGGGGAAGATCCGCCTCGCGTAGATGTCCACCCGCTCCCCCCTCGCCCCCCCGCCCGCCCCTCCCCCCATCCTCCCCAGCCTCTCGAAGTAGTTGATGAAGGCGTACTCCACGAGCGAGGAGAACACGAAGGCGAAGCACATGACGAAGAAGAAGTCCAGGGAGGTGGGCTTCCCCGTCCTCGGGATCGTGGACCGGCTCCCGACGAATCCCATCGTCGTGATGGTGAGCACCGTGGTCGCTCCCAGTCCCACCCTCCCGGGCGCGTCTTTCCGGTGGATCCAGAATCCGACCCAGGAGCAGGACACGATCAGGTAGCAGGGGATGTACACCTGGAGGATGTAGAATCCGGCCCGGCGTTCCAGGTGGAACCACACCGTGACGAAGGACATCTCGGTCGGCTCGAGCACGCCGGAGTCGTACGTCCAGTTCACCATGTCGTACTGAGCGAGACTGAGTTCCTCCTCGAAGCTGACCAACTTGGAATTCCACCGGTAGACCACGTCCCGAGCCCTGTAGCCGTAGCTGGCCACCTGGAGCGGGCAGACCTGGGTGTCGAGGGGGAACCGCTTCAACCGCATGGGGCACGAGGCCTTGATCGTCAGCCGCTGAGAGTACAGCAGGGTCCCGTCGCTGCTCAGTCGTAAAAGTCGGTTCGGCACTGTGATCTTGTGGAGGTACGAACGCTTCCCGTTCACGAAGAACGTGTCGGGCTTCCAGACCTTCTCGAGGAACTGCCAGTTCAAGCTGAGCTCGGTCAGTCCAGCGAAGGGAGAACCGGAGGCGGGGGTCGGTCCACTGCCGTCGGAAGTAGCAGTCCAGCGCGTATTCCTTGTCCCATTCCGACATGGGGCCGAAGCTCCTCACGTACATGTTCACTTGGATCTCGAGGGGCGTGCTGAGCTCGGTCAGTCCCGCGTAGGAGATCCGGAGGCGGTGGTCGGTCAACGTCTTCATGCATGATTCATGACGGTCCCATTTTCCAACGACACGCAAAACAGGGAACTCCTGATTGTTCCGTGCTCATACGTAGGCACGATAGCTCAATTTCCTAGCATCCATTGCCGCATGTCACGACTAGGTGAGAGCACACGATCGCGCAAGAGACCCAGCATGGAGAGCCTCGAGGAAAGGGTCCGGTGAGACTGGAACGGACCGGGATTCATTCGCCATCTATCTCGAGATCCACACACTACGTGGTTTCCTATCCATCCGCTGGGCGCTGACAGATGGGAGAACGATCCGTGACGTACGATGCACATCCTGAAGAACTGTGCGAATGAAGAACACCCGTCCCGTAAATGGCTGCAGGCAACGGAATGTCTGCAAGAATTAGGATTCTCACGTGTTCATATTTACTGGGGAAAAAATGATTTTCAACTGCATTATCCATATTGCAAACTTATCTTAAGGTACTAAGGGAAGATGAAAATCAACCCCCCTAGAATCAAATTCTGGCTCATAATTATTGTAGAGGACCCCAAGGGAGGGCCTTGGAGCCACTTTT